AGCCTCTTTCCCCAACATTCCTGTTCCTGTCCCCTCCTTGCATATCCAGAGACACTTACCCTATTAATTTTTCATTCCAAGTTAATATGAGGATACAGGTGATGAGGTTACAATGTTTGCATTTGTTAGGTAAAGTCCCTGTTGTAGTTGTGTCACGCACCCAGGAGGCATGCCACATACTGTCACATTGTACCCATGAGCACACCAATCCCTTCTCTCCTCCCCTCTCCCTTCTCTCCTCAACTTAAATTGAATTTTTCTCTTATGTGGGCATATATTAGAACATCTACTGGTTTCATATCAGTATTGAGTACATTAGATACTTGTTTTTCCATTCTTATGCTACTTTACTAAGAAGAAAGTGTTTCAACTCCATCCAGGTTAATAAAAAAGATGTAAAGTCTCTATCTTTTTATGGCTGAATAGTATTCCACAGTGGACATATGCCACAGTTTCTTAATCCATCCCTGGGTTGACACTTGCTCTTTAGTATCCCTCCCTGCTGTAGAGCTGGGCTTGCTGACCAGGCTCAGCCAGACCTCCCGCGGAGCCTGGGGTTTAGGCACCTTTTGGTAAGGAGGGAGCACATCCCTGCAGCCCTGGGCCACGGCCCAGGCCTCTTACCAGCACGTTGTACTGAGAGACGGAGATGTTGCTGGGATGCACCGTCAGTCGGACACACTGCTTCATCTCCGAGGCAAACCTGTGGGGCTCCCTGGACCGCTCGCAGCGTTCCTTCCGTGTGCACCTGAGAAGGACACAGTGGCTGGTCACCCAAGAGATGTCCAGGGAGGGGCCAACATTGAGGTCAGGGGCTTCTAGCAGCTTCCAGGACATGGCCAAAGTCAGTGTTTCCAGAGCTGAGATTTGTGTTTCCTTCTTCAAGCCTGGTCCTCTCCATCATGCCCACATTTGGAAAAGATGATAATTCTAACCACCTCTTGCCAAACACAGAACCTTGGGAGTTATCCTAACCCTCAGCCCTGGACTCTTGCATTGCACAGTGGCATCTATTCCTTCCCCCTTAGGCCGCCTGAGACTCCTTCTCTCCATGCCATAGAACACACTTTTTCACACTTCCCGGCCTTTGAACAAGTGGTTCTTCTGTCTGGACTTTCTCTCCCCTGTACCCACCCCCCTCACTTCTCCACCTATCTTCCCTTCCCTTCCAAACATGGCTCAGTGGCTGGGCACCTACAGCTCCTCCTGCCCACCCCGGGCAAAGTGAAGATCTTCCTTCCCAAGGTCCCACAGCACTCTGGACCTTCTTAGATTTTGTAACAATTATTGGGCCAAGTATAGCCCTCTCATACCAAGTGTGAGCTTCACAAAAGAAGCAACCACATCTGATTTATTTTGGAATCCCCTCATGCAGGCAGGTGGGAGGAAGGGAAGGAAGGATCAAAGGAGCAGAGTGCAGGAGTTTAAAGCATGCTCTGGATCAGAATCCCGGCTCTATGGCACAGCACAACTGCTTTCTGAAGTTTACTGTTATTGATTAATTCCTGTGCTGTACAAAGTGTACCATGTCACAGGTGGACCACATCCAGTGTGACCTGGCATCTTACAGTCTTAGTGGATGAGGGCTTGTGAAAGTTGCACATAAAAAAACACGGACCTCACCCAGAGGTACACATCACATGAGGTCACTGCATGGAGGTGTCTGAGGTTCAGGGAATGGTACTTAACCCAAGTCAGACGAAACTTGTGAACATAGAACTTTGCCGAGTAGCTATGATCTGGAAACCCTGGATGGGTGATTCTGCTGTGGGGTAGGGAGAATCTGGGTCCTGGGAAGGTCAAGTTGAGATAAGATGCCGGGACCCTCCCCGAGTTGCTGATCTTTTTTGGTTAGAGGAAGGAAGGTGCCAGGAGGAAGAAGACAGCCAGGGACATAGAACGCACATGGGGAGGGAGCTATTGGGAGGGAACATCTGTCTCAAGGAGCAGACAGGTGCAGTGGGGCACGGAGATGAGGGAAGGAGGCATTTGGACATCTTCAGCTGCCCTTCAGGCTCAGAAGGAAGCTGTGGGTGTCTCTTCTCCCACATTCAGCCACAGCAGAAGGGGTAACCTGAGGGTCTAAGAATTTAGCTAAGAAGAAGTCACTGAAGCCGTGGACTAAGCTGTCCCACCAAGGATGAGGGGAGACACAGGGACAAAACAGAGGACATCCAAGTAAATGTGTAACACAAAAGTAAAACCCAGTCCTGAACTATACGAGCACGGCCATGTGTTGTGAGTGCTGGACAGGTGCTGGGACGTGGGCTTCAGATTTCATGTCTTTTGTGGTTCACAGCGGTGCTGTGATAGGTCAGGAAACTGCAGAAGAGGGTGGGAAAGTCACTCGCCTGACATCACCAGCTAGCTGGGAAAGTGAGTGTCCACAGACACATTCTGGAGCCTAAAGCTTCCAGGCCACGAGGTGAATGGCAGACCCATTGCTGCAGACTAAACCCATTCTCCTTGCCTTCCTGACACCCCCTTTATGGCTTTAGAACAACGTAAACATTTCTTGTCAGTCTTTTTCTCTAGGCTATCACTACTTTTGCCTTCCACTAGGAAGCACTTTGAATGTTATTGCCACTGGTTGGACAAAGATGAATTCTCCAGGGTGCTTCTAGGAAACCCCATCCCTGGGTCAGACTTGAGTCTGGTCACCCCGTGGCACTCCCTGGCTGCTCTAGCTGACCGATGGCAATAGGAGTGTCTGTCTAAAAGACATGGAAGTTAATTTACCAGGCCAGATCCTCTGCAAGGACTCCATTACCTTCAGCCATTAAGCTAATGTTATGGACTTTTCCAGAGTGTCTGCACTGACATCGCTATTAATAGTGTTATTACTCCCATTAACAGCAGATCCAGAGAGCTAGTACAGGCTTAAATTATTCACTGACGCCCCAACTTTGAAGTTCCTATTTCCAAGAGCAATCAGTAGGTCTGAAAAATGTCTTTGATTAAATTATGAAGAGAAGGGAAAAATGGAGCTGTTTCCAGGGCAAACATTACCTGGACTTAGAAGTAGAGAATGAAATAGGAGAGCGAGGACTCAACCTCTCTCCTGGGGAAGGGGCAGAGACGAAGGTCTCTGGTTGGGGCATGGATGCAGGACGAGCTCTACCTGTATTGTTTACTGCTTCCAAAGTCCACGTGGCTTCATCACACCACTGCTCCTGAGAGCTGCAAATTAGCTATTCATCTCCTTCCCCCAGCCTAAGGTCTTACAGGGAAGCCACTTGTACTTCACAATTTTAACACCCCCTCTAACTGTACAATCTGGGGCAAATTACCTAACCTTTTGGCACCTCGGTTTTCTTACTTATAAAATAGGGGCAAAATATTATAGTTCCTACCTCATAGTGTTATTAGGATGAAATGAGATCATGTGAGTAAAACATTTAGCACAGGGCACAGCTCACAGTAAGCCCTCAATACATGTGAGCTAGTATCCTAATCCCATCCCTTCTCTCATGTCCTCATTTGACCCCTCCAAACTGGAGCTGAGGCAGAAACACAGATCTTTCCCAGATTGGCCCATGGGACAAAAGATAAAAGCAAGGCACGGCTGCAGCAGTTTCTCTCTTAATGAAGGAGAAGGACAGCCCAGAGCCTGGGAGGGAGGAGAGAGGGAGAGGATGGTCTGGGCTATAGCTCTGTCTTCTTAACAGCTGTCAAAGGATATTGAGAATTCAGCTTTCTTAGTGGAAAGTCAAGTTTAAGGTCAGAGCCAGGGATGTTTTGACATTTCTACTATCCTTCAGGGTCCATGAGAGTGGAGGCTACAAATGTCCAAGCACAGGATAATGGAAGGGGAAGAACAAATTCTCTCTGATTTCTTACGAGAGTGTTAAGGGACTGGCCTTCTGCCTTTCTAGGACAGCGATTTCCCAGCAGCCTAGGCCTGAGCAGAGAGTAGGGGGCTTACATGTTTCCTTCCAAGAGGCTCCTGGTACCTCCTAAAGGATGTCCTCCAACTCCACCGTAGGGCCACCCTTGACAGTGAAGGAAGTTTCTGCTTCATCCATTTTCCAGGTAGGAAAACTAGAACTTAAGTGGATTCAGAAAGGGTGTGCTATGTGACTTTGAGTTTTCAGACATTTGTTTCTGCCACACCATTGTCACTCCTGCCCCAAACACAGACCTGCAGAGGCTCAGTGGGAAGCAGGCCCCAAGAGGACCCAGCAGAGGTCTGGAGCTGGAGTTGGCCCTGCTGACCTCCTCCTGCCTGCCTTCCTCCCTCCACCTACTCTGCACTCCACCCCTTCCAGCCCCCATCAGAGGTGCTAAAAGCCCTTTGGAAGAAAGGCCCTGGGCCCCTGGAAGGAGTGATTATTCAAGCCAGTGGTTCCAATGAGATTATCCTCTCTAATGAAGCAGCTACCTCTGCCCTCCCCTAAGCCTGAACTTCCACTGCTGGGGAATTCCCAGCCAAGTGGAAAATTAGAAGGGAAAGGACTGGAGAAAGGAAGAGAGTGAGGGAGAGGGAGAGGGTGGTGATTAAGTTCTCTAGAAATTAATTCCAAAATACAGTGATAGAAATATTAACTCCCAGTGCTGCCGGCCAGTCGGGTAAACAAATTTCAATTTGGAAACGGGACTGTGAGTCTGGCCTGGGCGAGCCTCCAGGCTGGAGGGATCGTGGCTGGTCTGTCTCGCTGGGCCCTCCGCAGGTGTCCCACAGGCTTGGATGTCAGACCTTGCTCCTCATTTCTCCCCAGTCCTTAGCATCTCACACTGACTGTGGCCATGCTTTAGCACATGCCTGTTTGGGGAATCTACACTTAGAACATGAGATGGCAGAAAAGGCAAGGAGGCCGGGATAGTGACCTTGGGCCTGATAGAAAGTCAAGAGGATCTGGGGTCCCCAACAGGGGAAGGGACTGGGTTTCCTAATTTGTCACCCTCACCTTCTTTAGGAATGCCTACAGAAATGGGCAGGTGCACCTGTGTGGCTTGGAGGAGGGTGAACCACGTAGTGCAGGGCGCCTTTCAGGAAGGCGGGTGTGTGAGACGTTTCTTTATGAAGTGGAAGACCAGAAAGGTCCTTTCAGTGTCATGATTCTAGAGTCCAGCGACTGACATTATGGTCTCCCGGGAGTCTAAGTATTTAGGTTGCTCCACCTAAACAGTTAAATTAACCTCACAACAGGAAGCCTGAGGTTATACTGTGATTATCTTCTGCCACCAGAAGCTGCAACTGAACATACCATCCTGCTCATGTTGGGAGACCAAAGCCATCCTGGGCGGCACCTGATGCTGGCTTCATCCCTGCCTCCAGGAGGAGGGCAGAGGACTTAACAGGAGCTGGCAGGTGCAGGCAGCCTGAGGAACCTCTCAGGGCTTATGAAGCACAGAAGGGGTCCTGTCCTACCATGCTGGGCTCACATACTGGGCTTGCTGCCTGCACCGGGAAGCCACCCTGGGTGGCACACACCTGCTTGTGTGTGTGATGTGTGTGTATGTATGTGTTGGGAGATGGAAAGAGAGGACTAAGAGAGAAGATGCAAGTCTCTTTACATCATACTACCTATTTGCTCAGCCATAGAGAGAAAAATTCAGATGTACTAGTATCTGGTCCAAAACTCTTTCCTTTGGACAAGAGGCTGACATTTTGGCAAAGAGCCAAGGGAGACCACAGCATAGACCACTGAGAGTTTGCTGGCAAGAGTGGATGTAACCACTTCTTGGACTATGTAGACCTTGTGTAAACAACCCTGGGAGGCGTCACTAACTTAGCAGGTTAGCAGC